TGGCTGTTTCTGTAGGCAAACAAACACACTTTGGCTGTTTCTGTAGGCAAACAAACACACTTTGGCTGTTTCTGTAGGTAAACAAGCACACTTTGCCTGTTTCTGTAAACGTTTGGCATCCATTCAAGTTTTGCCAAGAGATTTGTCATTTAAGAAAATATAAATCATGAAAATTAGGGGAAGAAACTTTAGAATTTGGATTTTTTTTTACTGTTTTTATGACTTTGCGATAGAGCAGCTTTAAATAAAATAAAACATGAACAAACTTTTTAATGTTTCCTGTTTGTCACACGTTCGATTGTATTAATCAGCTGCAGAGCTCTTGGATGAGCTCGATCCTCAGACTGGAGGAAAGATCTGATCCAGGTCGGGGTTTTCAAGCTCTCTGTCCCCCAACAGGTTTTATGCTCGAGACTCTGGCCTGCTGAAGTTTAAGATCCAGGCGGGCCTGCTGGGACGGCCGGTCAGTCACGCCGTGCGCCGCCTGGTTGCCTTCACCTTCCATCCCTTCGAGCCTTTCGCCATCTCTGTCCAGAGAACCAACGCGGAGTACGTGGTCAACTTCCACATGAGACACGTCTGCGCCTGACGAGAGCAGGACGACATGTCCTCACATCTGTTCCGTCAGTCTCCGTCCTCTCCTCCGCGCTGCTCCTCTGTTCCTTCTGCATCACGCTGCAAGCTCTCCATCTCTGCAAGAAGTCACCAAGTGGGACCTCCTCAGCCCCACTTCCTGTGGGGAGGAGAGGATGAAACGAGTGGAGAGACGGCGGTGGGAGCTGCTGGGTGGAGAACAAACAGAGGATTTGGTTTTTCCTGCCACACACAGGAGCTGCCCAACAACCTTTTTAGTTTTATTCTTTTAACGTGATGTTTAACTGTACTTGTTCTAATCAAATAAAATAATTAACATTTTTTAATATATTTTTTTATTGGTGAGTTTCAGCAGAAAGATCGTCAAACTGCTGCAGACTTTGTGCTTCTGGCGTTTTCTCCTGAACGCAGCAGGATTGCATGTCGCCCTCCGTCTTGTTCTGAGAGAACGTTCTCTTTGTTCAAACCTTTAAACTGCATTATCTTCATCTCATGCAATAATCTGAGTTCTTGCGTCGTGTTCGTGCTCATTGTATGTGTTAGGTAGAACTCGGCTACTACCACAACAAATAACTCAAAATTTGTGAAGTAATCTGAGTTATAGCCATATTTGTGTTTCCTAAGGTCGGCTAGCTGTGGCGGCCATCTTAAAAGGGGTTGACGGCAGCTTTGGGATTAAATCTAGGTGCTTTGGTTTTATTACGTTTTTGGACCGTTTAAAATCAAATCCCAAGAAGTGAAATCTGCTGTTGCCGACATAGTTTTGTGACAAAAGTTACAAAATGTTCTTTCATGAGCTCTGAGAACCGTCCTGTACGGTGCAGGCAGAACTTTTAATCGCAGGAGGAATGGGTCATGTGTGATTGTTCAGAACTTTGTTGTGGCGCGTTGATGAGGAAAAGTGAGTGAACTACACTGATCTCGTTTCTCTGCTGGAGGAGCTGAGTGTTTCTAGGTGAACTTCTCACTCCATCTCGCCTCTCTTCCATCACTGTTACTCAGATCAGCTCTTTACACGTCGCATTTCCACCACACTTCAGGACCGGTTCTGGAGGCGTGTCCAGAACCCAAAATCCTGCTAATGAGCTTTAGTTCACCGTTAAGAGTGAGAGTTCTGTGATGAGTTAAACTCAAAGCAGTCTGCTTCTCAGATGAATAATGTTAAATTATTATTTTATGTATGAATATTTCTGTTCAGTGCCTTGAGACGACTTCTGTTGTGACTTGGCGCTATAGAAATAAACTGAATTAAATTAAATCTGATTACCCAGATTCTACAAAAACATCTATATTTAAAATTCTGTTTTCCTTCATCATTTGATGTATTTGCGCTCATCGTGTTTACTTTTATTGTTCATGTGCTTTTGTTTCTTGTATACAGATTTTATTTTAGCTTTAATTTAAAGAGTAATTCTTGTTTGTGATTTGTACGTCTGTGGATTAGAATAAAGTTGAACCAAAGGCTCTTCTTCAAACATGTTTGAGGGAAATATTCCCGAGAGATCCAATAATTTTGTCTTTTTATGATTTTTCAGCTGAATTAACTTTAATTAACAGATTATTTAATAAAGTCCAAGTGAAAACAGGATTTCATGATAAAGCCAGCACAGTTTATTTTTATTCTTCACTGATTTTTAAAAAATCATTATTTTTTTATACATAAAATGTTAAAAAAAAAAAAACATTTCCACCCTCTGTCCCGGTCCTCCCGCCTGCCAGGGCTCGGGCACCGGCCTCGTGTGCTTCAACAGGTCGGCAGCTCGTATGATCCTCCACAGTGACTCCGCTCGCTCGAATTTTGTCGTCGGTCACCAAACACAAAAAAACGCCTGGACTTCAGCATTAAACACGGCATTGTCATTATTGTTTTTAAAATCTTAATAATAGATCCAGACGCTGCTCCGAGTTCCAAGAAATTGCAAATGACGGATCGGTGAAAAGTTAGAGATCCAGTGACGACTCCTCCTGACCAATCCGAGACCGACAGTGTTCTGACGTCACATTTATGTCCCGACTCAGCTCGAATGGTCCCACCAGAGAAGCAGGGACAAAAAAAAGGTGCCGAATCAGCAAAAAAGTACTGGTGGAATAGGGATCGTTCCGTGGCGGGCTGAGCAGAGTTGGAGCTGAGTAATTGTGGTGGAAAAGGAACATAAAGGACAGTCCAGATACCCCAAAGAATAAACTTTTTGACTGCCTGCACTTTTGTTCTTTTGGTCTCTACCCAGAGTTTGTGACCAGGTGAGGGTAGGAACATAGACGGACCGGTAAACCGAGAACTTCTTGCAGCTCAGCTCCCTCCACCACAATGGACCGGCACATGGTCCGCAATACTGCAGAAGCTGTACTGATCTGTCGATCGATCTCACGCTTCATTCTTCCCTCATGTGTGGACAACTCCTCCACTCAAGGCAGAACCTTAGTCCCAGTCTGGACAGGACAGTCCACTCTTTTCCCACTGAGGACCATGGCCTCAGATTCAGACGTACTGATCCTCATCCCAGCTGCTTCACATGGCTGTGAAACGCTCCGGTGGGAGCTGAAGATCACGGCTTGATGACGCCAACAGGATCACATCATCTGCATAGAGCCGAGATGGACTCCTCATTAAACCACACCCCTTCCTCCCCCTGGCTGCACTGAGAATTACTGTCCATAAGAGTTGTGAACAGAATGGGTGGTCTCATCCTGACTGTGGTAATGGAGTCCATACAGGAATAAAACCACTGCCTGTGTCATCATATTCAAGCTGAAAGCTGATCCCTGCAGTCTGTTCTGCAGCGTATAGGATCATAACGCTGTTTTATACTACATCCATCTGCTCTGTACGCCATCTGCTTAGCTCAAATGTTTTATTAATGACACATGGATACAAACAAATCTGCAAACATGCAAATAGACCTGGGTGCCCTGCGCCCCCGGCGGCTGCAGCCATGTGTTGAATAAACACATGAGGGCAGGAAGGTGCAGCTGTAGAGAGGCCAGACAGATTCTGAGGCAGGTGCTAAGGGATTAAGTGTTCCCCCCGTCTCTGGTTACACCGCAGGGAGCATGGGAGGTGTAAGAATGACACACTAACCAGGTTAAATAGATAATCAAATAGTTATCAATAGTCGGCACCTGATCAGCTGTGACATTCAGTTTAGGTTCTTTCCCTAGTTTGTCGTTATTCTTCAGCCTGTTTTTATCCCATTATTGTTATTGATTCAAGATGGCTGCCACAGTAAATAGCCAACACCAAAATTATAAGTCTGTTTTGCAGGTACTGAGCCCATATTTGGTGTGGTAGTACAGTATATGGTAGAAGAATTAATGTGACCATCATCGACACCAAAAACACCAAGTTGTTTTCCAACTGTTTTTCCAGTCAGGGTGTTTTATTTTGATAGAACATCTACACCCCCATTCTGGACAAGCCAGGACTTTAGACGCCTTCTTGGCCACCTTGACGTGATTTCTAAATGGACCCACGCAGCGAGGGGTGTTGAATCAAGTTAAACTCTGACGCTCGTGTAGTAACAGAGGTGAAACAGTCAGCGCGAAAAAGCTGTTGCCGTGGCTCAATAATGTGATAGTGATGACGTCTGTCCTGGTCGTAGGATTAAACAACAAGAAACAGATTTATTACTGAAGGAAAGTCAATAATGACGCACATCAACTTTATATTTAGTATTTAAAAACGTTACCCACAACAAAAAAAAAAAAAGGCTAAACTGAGTTAATTAATCATGGTTTGAAGACAATACGAGGGAAACATCCATCACACATTTAACGCAGCAGAGTTCTGCTCCACGATGCCTGCTTCATTTCTGAAAAACCTCATTCAACCTTTATTTATACAGGTTAGTTGAGTCGTCTCTGTGGGATGAGTCCGGCTCCGTTAGCGATTTGTAAACTGTCAGAGGCAGCTTGAAGAGCAACCGTTTTATAAATGAGCCCAAACTCTGAGCATCCCCAGCATCTTTCTGCCACCGTAGTTTATTTTGAAAGGAGCATGAAATGGAAAGTCAACATTCTTTCACACTGGTATGTCACATTTGAGAAAAAGTAGTTTTATAAGCTCAAAAAACAATAACAAATATTAATCGGGCCCTTGTTTGTCTAGCTATTAGCCTAGCCTGGATGAAGACTTCTGCCCTTTTCTCCACATGCCATGCTTTATGACTGACAGCTATTTGACAAAACATCACTACAAAAATGACCAGACTATCCCTTTAAAGCAAATCCAGGGAGGTGTTCAGAAAGACGATGGGACCCGAGTCAGTGGTTTTGTGGATCGGGTCTTAAAGAGGCCATGTTATGCCATTAGAGTGTTGTGTAAGCTGGTGTGGCAGCAAGCTGTGATAATCAGCTAATTATGGGATGTGAGCGCAGCGGGTGCGTCCAGAGGACACAAAGCACGCTATCCTCGGCTCTGCAAACAGGGTCGCTTATGGAAACGATTCCTGCTGGAAGTGGCTTCTCTTCAGTTTTCTGTTAGACCTGGATCTCAAGCAGGGCCCAAGAACTGCTGGAGTTTCCAGTGACAAAGGGACAGAACCACAGAGTTCCTGCCCCGCCATTGCTGCGTATGGCAGACGTGTCTCTGTATCTGTCTTGTTCCTGACAATCAGGTAAAACCCAGAACCGTCTCTCTGACCTTGGTTGCCATGGAAACGCAAGCGCTCCCTGCTCAGTAACCTAGTCTTTTCTAATTGCCGTCGTCTTGGCAACAGCGCAGCCAAAAAGGCCACGGTCCTAAGTGTTTCCTGTTGCAGCCCTCGTCCTCACAGAAGCGTTGCGCACACACAGCTGCTCAGTTTGTTACCTGGAAAAATGACTGAAGTGCAGCCTTTTTCCTGTTTGCACATCTTATTAGCTGTGGTGGCCATCTTGAATCGGGCTTACTCCTGAAGTTGTAGAAGTGCATCCAATGATTACTTCCTCAAACTTTCATTAAGTCTTTTTTGATTCATGAGAGAATATGTGCTAGAGGCCAGTTTAAACTATTTCCACACCAAAATTTAGGTCAATTTTTATAAAACTGACTGAGTTATGGCAATTTTTGTGTTTTTTTTTTTTTTTTTTAAATAATCAGTTGGCTGTGGCAGCCATCCTGGATGAAATTGACTCCAAAAAAAAAAAAGTTAATCAGTTATAGATGCACATCCAGTCATTACTCTGAGTTCCACATTCGCTCCTCAAACTGGTGAAAAATGGGGCGGCAGGCAGGTGAAAGGAGACCAGCAGGAAATTACTCGGATGGGAGGGGAGTGAATAAAGGTCAGAGGAGATTTACCGGATGGATTTTATTTCCCTCCAACACATAAAAAGGCAGACAAACGTCCACCAAAAACTGAGGGACTGCGAGTTTTACTTCACCTCAGACAGCTGCTGCATTTCTTCTGTCTGTGCATTTGCTGTCACTGCTTCAGGCCTCGCTACGTGGTTTTTTAGACATCTCTTAGATTCATAGCTGAGCAGCTCAAACAAAGTTCAACAGAAGTTTCCTCCATGATGCGCTGACATCAACAGATTTCTGCACAAAAAATGATGCGTTGTGTTTTCCCCTGCACTGACAATGTTCTAGTTTCTCTGGTAATTTAGACAAATTTGTGAAAATGTAAATAAATGAACAAAAGCCTGCACTGTTATTTATCCTAGATATGTATTATCACCTGTTGCTGAGCAGCAGGCGGGCGATAATGCTTTTGTTTGCGTCTGTCTTTTACCAAAATATCTCACAACCTCTGGGCGAACATGAATGAAACTTACAGGAACATCATCTTTAGATGCTCCTCTTCAACTGGTTACCTTTTGGAGCCAAGCCAAGTCAAGATGGCCACCACAGATGACACAGAATGTGTTATAAATCAGTTTTATAGATGCTGAGCAAAGCTTTGATATGATAGTAGCTGAGATTCATTCACAACACATACTCCAAGTGCAAGTCAGCCCTGTTAGCAAAATATTTCATGATACATCAGATTTAATCAAAACTCTCAGAAGCAAATCATTGCAAGTGTGTTTAGCAAGATGGACATGGCAGCTAATCAATCTTAGCAAACAAAAAAAAAAAATAACTGTTTTTCAGATACTGAATTGAAATTTGGTGTGGTAGTAGCTCATAGTCATTAAATGATACTCTGAGTTTGTGGTATTGATGAACTGCAGCAGGTGATGTGCATTCCTTCAAGGAATGCTAGGCATTTAATTGACTGAGTATTAGAAACAGTTTACATGTATTTATATTTTCTGACGATATGGAGTCGTACCTTTCAAAGCCTCCTCGGTTATTACCCTCACCGCCGTTGTTCCTTGCTGCAACACACACACCAAAGTCAACATTTCATATCACACAGCTGAAGGTGTTTGACTCGTAGAGAAGGATGGATGCTCCATGTACACACGCAGGCACGTGTTTGTTTTTGTTTCAGGTTACCTTGTAGGGACCAGTTTTACATAAAATCATTTGTGGGAGCCAACTGCTCTTTGTGGGGATCAAATCCAGGTCCCCAGGATAAGTCTCGTTGGGGGGGTTAGGGGTTAGGTTTAGGACTAAGGTGTGAATTGTGTATGGGTTAGGGTTAGGCATGTACTAGTAATGGTTAGGTTTAAGGTCAGGGTTAGTCTATAGAAAATGAATGAAGTCAATGCAAAGTTCCCAAAAAGTATGTTTACAAGAACGTGCGCGTGCACACACACACACTGTCAAAAGCCCTGCATCACACTGAGACAAATACACAAGCTGAGTGTAGGAGATCATTTCTAAATTACTTCATTTCTGGTCCAGACAGACGCAGCTGGAGGTCGATGCCTGCACACAGACACACACCTGACTGAGCACTGGTCAGGGTGGGGTGGGGGTTTTCAGGTGGAAGCACAACAGAAAAATCCACATCATGACTGACCTAACAGTACAGAAGTGATTGGATGTTTGTGTGTTTGAACAAACCTGAAGTGTCTGAGACTAACTCACCTGTATAAATAAAGGCTGAATGAATGAATGAAGTCTGGAGATGTCCTCAGTGATGTTTCATGATGAGTGAAGATCAGCAACAGGTGGTCAGAGATCTCCATCTACTGGATGAAAACAAAACCTGCAGCTTCCTAAACAAAAAAAAAAAAAAAGCAACCTGAACATGAAGCAAAGAATAAATTAACTGTCCAAATATATCGTACCCAATTTGTATTAATGACATGGGTGAATTTGTTGTGTTTTTGTGCACACCGGTAAGATTTTAATAATTCTAGAAACTGGTACAGACCAGATTGTTTTTCTTCTGTCCAGATACATATAACATTAGAAATAAGAGGGTCCACATTTGTGTGGCCATGGCTGAACATATTCTGAGTGACAGGAAGACAAATATAACAGCTATGGGAAGTTTATTATCGTAACTTTTACACAACCTTAAATATTAAAATCTAAAACTTGTTTGTGGTTGCATGTAAATAAAAAATAGAATGATATATTCCATGTCTTAAAACAGTTCTACTGAAACTTGGTTTTATGTGTTTGGAAAAAATAAAATAAAAAGTGATTCACAAAACACGAATGGACGAAGGGAAACGGAGCTCAGTGTCCCTCACTTGGAAATAAGTTTTTGAGCCCCAACCTGGAGACTGGCCAGGGGGAGGAGCTTGTTGACAAGCACCTGGTGACCAGCCTCTACCCATGGGCCCCGTCAGTCTCAGCCTTAAATTAACAACACAAGCTTGCCTTCCTGTGGGCCCTTCACCTGCTGGAGGCTTTATAAATCTGGTGCATGGTGCTATGGATGGCAGCTAAAGGCAGGGGTCTTGGCGCTCCTGCTCTTGGCATTCTGAAGCTGGCTCTTACAAGTAACATGAATCTAAATTCAAAATGGCTGCCATTTCCCTCTTCAGTATTAATTTTTTTGTTTAACAAATGATAACATGGAATCTGTTGTGTTTTTGTACTCTTGAGGTTAGACCAAAACATTTTAGAAGCTAATGAAGAGCAGATGTCTTGATATGTAAAAATCCTAGATGTAGTGATGGGCCGTTTAACGCTGAAGCTCCTGCACGTGTCAAAAAATAAGTGTTTCAGAAGCTGTGTTGGAACTTGGTTGTTTGGCAAAAGTTACGTGGTGAATGACGTCCAAAGCTTCGAAAGTGCTGAAGTTACGTAACTGCTTAGGTACGGATTCAGTTTCTCAGGCAGTGAACCAGTAAAGGTGGTGAAGTGAAAGAGGGTCGACTTTTTATTCATGACTGAACATCATTTGAGTGACATGAAAAATATAGGACCAAGGATCAAGATTATTATTTTTTATTAAAAAAAAAAAAAAAGGATTCAGAATCAAAATCTTATTTGCAGCTGCAATACAAACATAAAAAACAAAAATCATTCAAGTATTCTAATGAAACCTGGTATTTTTAGAAATTTTGAAAAAAAAAAAAAAAAACTTTCTTTCAGCTGTTCCCTTCTTCAGGGTCGCCACAGTGAATGAACTAGTGTGAAACGTTTGACAATTGTTTTATGTCGGATGCCCTTCCTGACAACCAGGGCTCAAACCGGCAGCCCCAAGATTATAAGGCTAGAGCACTTAACCACGGAGCTAGCGCAGTTCTTTGCATTCAGACTAAAAAAGTTTTGGCTAAAGAGATGAGACGGGACTCCGCAGCGACATCCACTTACGATAAATGCACCTCTTCTGGGTAAGTTGCAGCCACTTGGCAACGATATTTACAGCAGCCTTCAAAAGAAAAATCCGAGCACCAATAAGCAAATATAAAAATCAAATGTATAGGGACAAAAAAGGGTAAAAACAAAAACATTACTGAAAGGAATACATTATTTTACGGCATGATAAATATGGGACGAGAAAATTTACTTATATTCAATCTTAGCAGCGTTGATATTTCCCCAAAAGAACATATAAGATTTGTAACGTTACTGAGAGTTTTCAGGACCATTTGAAAAAGTTCTGACAGCGTAAATAAAATAAATTTGAAGTAATTTTAGGCTTTGTCAAGAACGGATGTGTTTACTGCCACCTAATATAAATAAATAACACAAAAATATGCATGTCTGATTTTTTTTCCTCAATAAGATCTCCTGAGGGTTAATATTTACAGCAAAACTGTTTCCTCTTGTGTGGATTCTCACGTGGGGGTTCAGATAAATCTTTAGCCTAAATCTTCCACAAACATCACAACAGAAAGTGTTCATTTCCTGAGTGAATTTTCATGTGTGAGTTTAAAGTTTTCAGTAGGCTAAATGATTGATGGCAAACACTGCAAGGAAACGGTTTGTCCCCTGTATGTTTTCTCATGTGGGAGGTTAAAGAAGATTTTCGAAAAAAACTTCGTCCACAAAAATTACAAGTGAAGGGTTTATCTCCCAAGTGGATCCTCGTGTGGTTGTTTAAAGTTGACTTATTACTAAAACTTTGTCCACAAAGATCACAAAGAAACTGTTTGTCTCCTGTGTGAATTCTCATGTGTGTGTGTAAAGTTCCTTTAAATCTAAATTTCTGACCACAAAAATCACAGAGGAACGGTTTGTCTCCTGTGTGGATCCTGGTGTGGTTGCTTAAAGTCGACTTATCCCTAAAACTTTGTTCACAAACACCACAAGAAAATGGTTTTTCTCCTGTGTGCATTCTCATGTGTGAGAGTAACGTTCCTTTATGTCTAAATTGTTGTCCACAAAAATCACAAGAAAATGGTTTGTCTCCTGTGTGGATAAACATGTGGTAGTTTAAATGTGACTTGTGCTTAAATCCTTGTCCACAAACATCACAAGGATACGGTTTGTCTCCTGTGTGTTTTCTCATGTGGGAGTCTACATGTGACTTTCGGCTAAATCTTTGTCCACAAAGATCACAAGAAAACGGTTTGTCTCCTGTGTGGATTTTCGTGTGGTTGTTTAGGGTTGTCTTATCACTAAAATTTTGTCCACAAAGATCACAGAGAAATGGTTTGTCTCCTGTGTGAATTCTCATGTGTCTGTTTAGACATGAGTTATAGTTAAATCTTTGTCCACAAAGATCACAAGTGAACCGTTTGTCTCCTGTATGCACTCTCATGTGTCTTTTTAGGTGTGTGCTTAGACTAAATCTTTTACCACAAACGTCACAAGGAAAAGGTTTGTCTCCTGTGTGGACTCTCATGTGTATTTTTAGATATTTTTTAGTGGTAAAGCTTTTATCGCAGTCATCACATTTAAATAATTTTGGCCTTATCTTAACATTCATGTGTGACTCTGCATTTTTCTTCACTCCAACACTTCTCTTTTTAACCAAACAGCTTGAAGATTTTACCTCTGGATGACATGTCATGTGTCTCCAAAGAGACCGGTATTTGACATAGTGCTTACCACACTCAGAGCAGCTCAAAGATTTGTTGACAGCGTTTATACCTGACTGAGGAGCTCTGTTGTCCTCCCACTCTTTGTTATTGTCTTTAGTTTTAGGACCAGAGTCTGATAAGTTCTTAAGCTGAGAGTCAGGATAGTTCACATCCTCATCATCTTCATAATTCTCACTGAGTTCAGTCTCTGAAGAGCTGGAATCCTCTATGTGTGTATTTAGATCTGAGTTTCTGGTAGTTTCAGCTCCTCTACAGTCCTCTCCATCAGCTGCTGCTTCCATCTGATCAGCTGAGTTGCTGGTTGGAAAATCTCTGTTTTCCACTTGGTGCTGATGAAGCTGTGAGAACAGAGGCTTCTCATCATAATTTTCACTTTTCAAATGAACTGCAGTGACTGAAAACCTGGTGACTTCAGTACTCTCCTTCACATTGAGTCGGTATCTCTCAAGACTGGTCCAAGGTTCCTCCTCTTCCTCTTTTATGTTGAGGGGCTCTGAGTCCAGCTGGTCCACACCAGGCCTCCATTCTTCAAGAGCTTCTTCTTTCATCAGCACCATCTGTTGAACATGGGCAGGGAGCACTGAAACACATGCATATTAAGGACAATGTTACCTTTACACTCACACATACATCCCTTGTGTTGTTGCACTGAGTTAACTGGGTTCATTACTTCATTGCTCTTTGTGATATTATTCAGGGCTCACCTCAAAACTGTGAACTAAAAACAAAGCTTTAATATCAGTTTGAAGTGTCCATTGGTCTATGTGTAAAGAAAAAAAACTACTTTTTGTTAAACAAGAACAACAGGAAAGAGAACAATGGTGAATACAAATGGTTGCACTTACTATGTGATCAGTAACATATGGTGACACAAAATGGCAGCCGTGACCACAAATCTAGACAAGTAAATGGACAAAGATAAACATAGACAAACAAAAATGGCAGATTTTGTAGTCCACAAATTAGGTTAATGTTTGACTATCTAAACCAGGGCTATTCAACTGGTGGCCCGTGGGTTGCGACTTCAGTCCGGCCCACCAATGAGTTCATAAAAAAAATTGGGGAGGGGGGAGTTCTGGATTTGGGTTCTGTTTATTGCATTTATGATTCAAAGTAATAAAACCAACAAATTGAAAAGGTGTTTAAAATTTAAAAGGTAACAGATCATTGTAATACTTGGCTTATTTAGGTAATAAATTTTTTTGTTTAAAACAGGTCTCTCTTGAAAATGAGTCCTTGTGATTCAATGAGACTAACCTGTATAAATAAAGGTTGAATGAAAAAATTCTGGATGTCCAGCCCCTGAGCTGTTGGCATTCAGAGACTGTGGCCCCCTGAGCAGTTTGGTTGAACAGCCCTGATCTAAACCTTTCTTTGTGTTTAGTTCTGATTCAATAAAGGAAAAATACATAAATAAAAAGAGTTGAAAAATGTGTAATGTTCCAAAACAGACAAAGGATTTTTGATGCATACAATATCCTAGCTGAAGGATGAGGTCAGGCAGGAAACCTCATAAACTTTGACATTTCCAGATGACATTGTGGTCTGTGAGAGCAGGGAACAGGTGGAAGAGAACTTAGAGAGGTGAAGGTACTCAAAAGAAGAGGAATGGAAGTCAGCTGTAGTAAGACAGAGTACATGTGTGTGAATGAGAGGGAGGCAGATGGAACAGTGAGACTACAAGGAGCAGAGGTCACAAAGATGCATGACTGCAAGTACTTGGGGTCCATTGTCCAGGAAAATGGGGAGAGTTGTAAAGAAGTTGTTGGATAATTTAATTATCCTTTCATCAACTCATTAAATAAATAAGCCACACAAGGAAACTAGAAGATCTTTTCAACCCAGGTTTAATCTTACAAGAGGCGCAGCAATTGAATACCGAGATACAAAATGTTACACAATGCTCGGATCACAAGGTCTGCCCAAAGAGAAAGGGTCAGCAAAAGCTTAAATACCCATTATTGGACAGGGGAAGGTCAAGACTCTGCTTCACAGCTCACAGTAGTTGAAGGCGTCAGAGTTTATCAGTTATCAGGCTCCTCTCTGAGTAGACAGAAAGGCTCTCTCGACTTCACACATGGCTCTATATTAATTTGGGGCAGCTGTGGCTGAGTGGTTAGAGCAGTCGTCCTCCAATGCAAGAGCTGGGGGTTCAAATCCACCAGCAGTCACATGCCGAAGTGTCCCTGGGCAAGACACTGAATCCCTTATTGCCTCCCGTGTGTCTCATTGGTGTATGAATGTAATCTAAAGGACCGGTTAGTCTCTTTAGAGAATGATTTGTTCAATTAGCTTTGTAGAAATCTAGTAGAGTGCTGTATGAATGGGTAAATGTGGTCACAGATTGTAGTGTAAAGCACTTTGAGTATCTTGATCAGATAGAAAGGCGCTATATAAGTACAGTCCATTTAAGTACAGTCCATTTAATTTGACAGTAGTAAGTGAAAAACATCAATGACCTTTACATAATCTTCCGCCATCGGAGGTGAAGAAGAGAGAATAAAGGAATATTTTACAACAGTGGTGAGACCAGCTATGTTATATGGTCTGGAGACAAAGACATGGACAAAAAGACAGGAGACAGAACTGGAAGTGGTAAAAATGAAGATGTTGAGGTTCTCCTTAAGAATGACAAGATTAGATAAGATTAGGAACGAGATCATCAGAGGTACAGCACAGGTTGTACAACTGGGAGATAAAAGTTAGAGAGGCCAGACTGAGATGGTTTGGTTTGGACATATGTAGAGGAGGGACTAGGGGTGGGCGATATGGCTCAAATATAATATTGGGATATTTCTGAGCATTCTGATGATAATAAATTTCGTGATATAACAAAATAAAAAAAAACAGAAATCATAGTTATTCATTTGACAAAATTAACATGTTGCTTTGCAATATTATATAAAAACTAAAAAACAAGGGTTAATTTTACTGAAATTACATTATTTAGTAAGGTATTCAGTCTCAAAGTATAAAAATATTCAGTCTCAAAGTATAAAAATAAAAATGATCATTTATTTGATGATTTAGATTGAAAAAAGTCTGCACAAAATATAGATCAACAAAATCCACCAAAAAAAACTAAAGTGCAGGTGAAGTTTCACAAAATAACTAAATAAAATGAAGCTTAAGATCTGTTGAGCATAAATGTAACATACAACAAAAATATGTTGCGTTTAAATGAGCTATAACTTCCAAAACTTGTAACAAGGTGATCAGCTGACCCTAAACTTGTGGTGTTTCAGCTTCCTCTGTTCCTGCAGGAATGATTCATTTCTCTGATGCTCTGTCTCTCATCACCTGACTCTGTTCTTGGTCCATGGACTGTGAAACTCAAGAGACACAGCTGAGCTGTGCGTGTTTGTACCAGCAGTTTAGAGTGGGGGGAGAACCAGCCGAGATGCGCCCGCACCAGCAGCCCAGAGCAGGGTGAAGGGAGAGAAAAAAGCCGAGCTACGTGGGTGTGGGGGAGGGAGAGTCAGTTGAGGTGTGCATGTCTGCACCCGCAGTTTAGAGCTGAGTGGAGAGATGCAGCTGAGCCGCGCGTTGTTTGTTTTTAGCTTTTTAGCTAGCTAGTATTGCGCGCAGCTAATTAGCGTTATGCCAGTACCGACAGGTGGAGGGGGGGGGTGTGCAGTTCGGTTTGGTAATTTGGCGCACTTGGTTCTGTTAACGGGGCCGGGCGCCCCACTTGTATAATAGTAGGGGAAACACTGACGTACTTACGTCATGAAATTAGCATATCATGATATAATTTATTTTCCCGGGCAAGTTTTTTTTACCGGTATTATCGTGAACGATATGATATGGCCCAGCCCTAGGAGGGACAGTGGGTATATTGGTAGAAGGATGTTAGAAATGCAGCTACCAGAAAAAAAGATAAAAAGAGTATATATGCATGCAGTTAGAGAGGACATGGAAGTAGCTGGAGTGGGGACAGAGGATGCAGAAGACAGAGTGAGATCGAGGAGGATGACTCACTGTGGCGACCCCTGAAGAGGGAGAAGCCGAGAGAAGAAGCAGGACTGGATTTATTTATACTTAAGTGTTTCCACTACTAATATCCAAGTGCACCACCCTGTCAACTGAACCGAGCGCCAAACCTACCAAATCCCCAAACAAGATCAGCACTTTAGAAAATGGGGGGGGGGGGGTTGTTCTCCACTGAGCAGTACCTATGTCTATATTACATTTAATCCAAAACACCTTGGCAAATCTTACAACACAACTTTATTTATAAAGAACTAAAAAAAAAAAGTTGGCCAAAGTGCTGTACACCAACGCATATAACTCATGTTGAGACATAAATCATCTCATAATGGCCCCATTATCGGCTGATGTAAACACTTAAAATTTTCACCCCTAAAATGCTGGGAACAAGCTGTAATTGTACAATGTATCTAGCAGAGGGCACATGAGGACTACTTTCAGGTCATGGCCGTTCATGTTGTTAAGTTTCACTTTTGACGTTCAGCACAGATGAAGCAGGGAGCAATACAGTGTTGTGTATTTTGCTGAACAGACCATGGTAAATTGATTTTAACTGATCTGTAAAATAAAAATCCACAACAAAAAATTATCTTCAATCCTCCAACCCGCTTGTCATTAGCTATGTGCCTCTCAAGTTAGCAAGCTAACATTAGTGTGGGTACGCTGTCCTCACAACACGTGACTACACTATATAAATAAACTGAATTATGTGAAGCTTTTAAACCACATATTGAAAACATGTTAAAGAAACAAACTGAAACTGGGTTTCTTTTTCAGAATCAGATATTGTTTAACTCTGAACGCCAGGGAACGCTTGTAGCTGCCACTTTCCTACCAGCTATCGATTATGGTGACATTATTTACATGAATGCCCCTGCCAGCATTCATCGAGAGGAGCCAGTTGAGGTGGCTTGGGCATCTGTTTAGGATGCCTTCTGGACGCCTCCCTGGTGAGGTGTTCCGGACACGTCCCACCGGAAGGAGGCCCAGGGGAAGACCCAGGACACGCTGGAGGGACTACGTTTCTTGGCTGGCCTGGGAACGCCTCGGGATTCCCCCGGAAGAGCTGGCCCAAGTGGCTGGGGAGAGGGAAGTCTGGGCCTCCCTACTTAGGCTGCTACCCCCGCGACCCGACCCCGGATAAGCGGAAGAAAATGGATGGATGGATGGATGGATGGCCCCTGCCAGCTCCTTGCAGATGTTGGAAACCATCTGCCATGGCGCTCTAAGGTTCTTAACTGGTTGGAACTACCATACCCATCACTGAACTCTGTACTTATTGGTCAGTTGGTCATCATTATCTACACATAGGCTCTCAGACCGGTACATCTTCATCTATAAATCATTCTTTGGTCTGCTACCTTCTTATATCTCCTCCCACCACATGTCATGTTGTCAGAGCAGTTACAGCGTCGCACTCAGGCCTTCATTATAGGGTTGCACAATAATTCGATATCGATATTATCATGATATACTTTTATTCAATAACGGTGATATTTTAAGCACATTTTCGATATTTTGATCATATACATTACGTTATGATTACAGCGTTTCACTACATCCTTTATGATTGTCTATTGTTGTCTTTGTTGACCACTGTTGTCATCAGATATTTGTTAAAATCAGGTCTCTCTTGTAAATGAGTCCCTGAGGCTCAATGGGATTAACCAGTATATATAAAGGTTGAATGAATGAAAACATCTTTAAAACCAGTTCTGCACTGAAACGTTTTGTAGGCGATATTTCATAAATGTAATATACTAATAGTTCTTAGATGCTATATTTACAGTCGCAATATGTGCTTGTGTAAATAAGAACAATGATAAAAGTGTAACAAGGCTTTATTTTTGTTTGTTTATGATACCTCGGCGCTATGACGTAGTTCCGTTAAAAATGTAAAATTTTAAGGACAGCGTTGTCCCTAATTCCGTATGTAGTGAGAAAACATTTCAAACACAGCCAACGTGAGGTAATTTGGATTTCAGCTGTCTGCTTTTAAAAAGCAAAAACATAAACATTAAACGTTTAAAAAGCCACTCACTTTCATCAGTTAGCATGCTAACCGTGTCCAGCTGCCGCAGACGGTCCGGTGTTCTGGTTTAACTTGAGACAGAGTTAACTGGAGACCTTCTTCTGGTAGCATGGGCTGGTAGCAGCTGCATAGACATTATATATATACACATGTGTATATACAGTATATTAATGTCTATGAGCAGCTCAGAGAGGGGTCCTGGCAGCGGGTGGACAACAACAAGTGACCACTTAGCTGCCCCAGTGAATGCCGTATTGTTTATGTGACATTAAAATGTCAACACGTGCATGTTGACATATACATAAAATATTGATCAGAGACATTAGTGTGGTTTCAGGTCAACTGTAGGTGCTGTTTAATCATATCATACAGGAGTAATTTTCAGTGAAAGACTAGATCCTTACTTATTAAACAGAAGGATAATGTAAACAAAACAAAGTAGCTGAAAATGCTAAAAAAAATTTTAAAAAAAGCTATTGGTGATTAGAAAATTAATAAACCATCATTACAATGTTAGTTCTCCATGTTTCTTTATTATTGAAATATATTATTGTTTCTAGCAAAGTTAAGTCAGATCCTCTAGACGGATTAAAATAATTTGTTGAAACGTTTAATCTTTTATCGATTTACCGTAAAATTGGAGCTGCACTAAACTCAGTCATATAAATAGCACCTTCTCATAATGGATGAACCAGTTTGCTGGTGACAGTCACCAGCAAACGCAAACTGGTCGATCCACTATGAAAATGTGCTATTTATAAGACTGACACGTTTCCTCAGACTGACAAAGTATTTTGGATAAAAGACAAAAGGTTTCCACAATTTTTTTAATCTATCCCGAGGACCTGACAGAGTTTTCGGCTGGGATTATTGAGCATGAATCAGGATATTATTGTGTATTTATTTTTGTTCTCGTTGACTCAGAATTTTGTTATGAATAAAATGAGAAAATGATCAAAATATCCCGTGTCCACAGGACAAACTTTAATGAAACTCTCAAAGTAATTATTACATTTACATGTACATGAACATCTACACTAAGTTTTGGGACCAACCCTGTTCAAGATGGCCACCACAGTCAACTGACTTTAAATAAAAACTGCTATATGTCCGCAAAAGGTACAGATATCAAGCTGAAACCATCCACTAGGGAGCACAAGCCAGTGTATCGCTTGTGCCAGTCCCAAGCTTGGGTAAATGGTGATTTGTGGTGTGTTTTGCTGGCAAATGTGCACAAAACGTAACAAACCAGTGAGTGATAGTGAGACATGGAGCCAGACAGCAATATGTTTAATTTATCAGTTAATAAGCATTTTTAACCCAACAACAACAACAAAAAACATACTAAAACAACAACAAAAAACTTTCAAAAAAACACTATATGTACATAAATTACAATATGATCTCACAGTGAACATAAACTGGTTAATAGCATAAGTCATGAAGGTTGGGAACTTCCAGCATAAGTGTAACTCTATACACTGGTATTATGTTATGAATTAGATCAATTTTGCTTGCAAAGTAGGAGACGGCAACCACAGTTTTCCAAGTGAAGACTGGAGTGAGGCAAGCTATGTGGCATTGTCTTTCCTGTACAACATCACCAATGATCGACTCTCCACGTCGTTTATTATAACTTTAATATAACATAAGAAATCTGCCGTAGAATCAAAATTGCATTGCATTGCATTTAAGCATGTTCCACTCAGCAATGTCCCAGTTCGGGATTCTCATAAAAACTGAAACAAAGTGTACATTTAAGACATGGGACTATGTGTTGTTAGAAAATGCTTAAAGTAGGCTACTTGAATAATAATGTTTTTACTATTTTAAATCTTTCCAACATTTATTATCTGGCTGAAACTTATAGCTATACAATTAAAGAGGTATGTGATGGATTTTGAGTTGTGTATTTAAGAACAAAATGTGAATTCTGATGCAAAAGATAACAGGAAAAAAATCAAAAACATCTAAACACAGTCAGTAAAATCCACTGATACAGGTCAACAATTAGTGAGGGGCAACATGGTAGATGGAGAATAAGTACAATGAAAAAAAAAACCATACAGAGAAGTAGAATGATGTTAGATGGGTGTACTTTTACTCCTTTTGTTAAGCACTTGTTAAAAGAGAGCTAAATTGAATTTATGGATCAATAAAAAGGTCAAACTGTATCTTAAAGGGAATTAAAAACAATTATATTAAGTGATTTATTTAACCTTATTTTTAGTCAGATCCCAACAACTGAGGGATGAATCCATTCATTCCAGAGAGCCTTCATCATACCAAACTTTCGTCCAGTCCTGATCTAGGAGGGCCACTATCCTACATATTTTAGATGTTTCTCTGCTCCAGTAACTGGATTTGAAACAATGGACTACCAGGCTTCTGCAGAACAGGAAGAGATAATTAAACTATTGAATCAGGTGATCACACAGGCCATTGGAGCCTTCAGAACCAGTAGCTAAAATTGATGCTTTGTTTTTTGATCAAACTTGCATGTGACAATCTGTGGTTGGACATGGGAGTTTTTCCTTCTTTTCTATGCAAAAGGAGAGATAAACCCTGGAAAGGTCACAAGTCCATCACAGGGCCACATAGACAAACGAGACAAACAACCACTCTCTCACTCACAAACCATCGCTCTCTCACTCACACCTAGGGACAATTTAGTTACCAATCAGCCTAACATGCATGTTTTTGGTCTGTGGGAGGAAACTAGAGTACCCGGAGGAAACCCACACATGCACAGAGAGAACATGCAGTGTTGCCAGATTGGGCGGTTTACCGTCATTTGGGTGGTTTTCATTCTGATTTTGCAGGTAAAAATTGATTTGGGCAGGTGGGATAATTTGGGCGGATCGGCAGTTTTTGAGTTAACCTATTAAACACTTTTCAAACAATCACTCATCATTAGTTCATAGCAAAGCTCCCCTGACCTTTCTTCATCACTGATTGGCTATTGTCATCTACCAGGGCGTTCACAACAGAGAACTGGTGAGACAGTTAGTGGACACCTCATTGTGTGGGCTGGCCTGCTGTAGCTGTACATTGTAGCGGCTGCCATATTGGATGTGGCAGAACTGCCGGTCAACTGATAGAAGGAAATAGACTGAACTTCATAAATCACCGTTCTACAAAGTGTTTTATGTCAATGCCTGTCATTCACACACACTAATACATTTGGAAAACAAACAGGCACCAAAGACAACATTTATAACTTTTAAAGTGATTATTAAAAATGTTTACTCCGTAAATGTTTAGGGTAAGAACTAAACCAACATATGTATTATTTAGAGTGTTTACAACTACTAATGTGTGTAACACTATTACTGGGATAATAAATATAACAATATTCATATTGAACATTTAATCTGTGTCTAATAACCAGATGCTGAAATGTGACATGCAGATTTATTGAATAAAGAGCACTAACATTCACATTTAACTGATTTTGATTAATTGATCACATTGATAAACACCATCCATCCATCCATTTTCTTTACCCGCTTATTCCATTTTGGGTCACGGGGGTCGCTGGTGCCCATGTCCAGCAATCACTGTGCGAGGGGTGGGGTACACCCTGGACGGGTCGCAAGTCCATCACAGGGCCACATAGAGACAAACGAGACAAACAACCATTCACGCTCTCACTCACACCTAGGGACAATTTAGAGTTACCAATCAGCCTAACATGCATGTTTTTGGACTGTGGGAGGAAACCGGAGCACCCGGAGAAAACCCACGCATGCACAGAGAGAACATGCAAACTCCACCCAGAAAGGCCCCTGGACCGGGGTTTGAACCAGGGACCTGCTCGCTGAGAGGCAGCAGCTCTACCAGTTGCGCCACAGTGCAGCCCTGATGAACACCAATATACACCAATATATTTTTACAGAGGGTGGGGGTATTGTGAGTGTGTGTTCAAACAGTAAATCTAACAATATATTGATTGGGCGGGTTTTTGTGTGATCGGGCGGTTTTTAACAGACTTTTGGGCTGGAAAACCTCAATTCTATGTAGCAACACTGAGAACATGCAAACTACCCAGAAAGGCCCCTGGGCTGGGATTTGAACCAGGGTAAACTGCTCGCTGAGAGGCAGTAGTTACCAACTGCACCACTGTGCTGCCCTGTGTCTAAACTTGTTTAGTAAAAATGACATCCAAAGGTACAACATTTCTGGAGCTACATAACTGCTTTACTTGATTCAAAGTTTGTACAGCAGTGAATTAAAGGGATTTTGTAGTGTTTTGATGGTAAATGTGCACAAAACATAAACTAGCGAGTGGCATAAACAAGACATGGAGCCAGCCAGCATTATGTTTAATTTATCAGTTAATAAGTATTTTACTCCAACAAAAAACAAAACAATTTAGAAAAACACTACATGTACATAAATTAAATGGTAAATGTACTGTTCTTGTACAGTAGAACACCTTTTAATGTACCGGTAATCAAGATACACAAAGCACTTTACAACACAATCTGTGCCCTCATTTACCTCCACACAACATTCATACAGCACTCTACTACATCTCTACAAAGCTAATGGAACAAATCCTTCTATAGACTAATCAGTGCTTTATCACATTCATACGTCGATGAGACACACATCAGAGGTAATGAGGGATTCAATGTGTTGCCCAGAGATACTTCAACATGTGACTGCTAGTGGAATCGAACTGCCAACCCTCCCATTGGAAAACAACTGCTCTAACCAGATCTGACTGCTACAAAATACTATTTTTAAATGTTTTTCCACAAAAAAGTAGTCTTTTAGAGTCTCAGCCTGAAATAAAAATATCTAATTCAAATGATTTTTTTTTATTTTTATTTTAATGCTTTAAGGAGACATGTTGATTATTTTAAAGAAAAACTGCTAAGTGAAAAGACCCTCAGTATGTAGCAAAGAGCATTAGACACTGATGTGTCACTTGTTTGCAAATGTTCTTTTGCACTGGAAATTATTTGCTTATTTTTTAATGTAAGAAAACTGCTTGGAATGGAAAAAGACCAATGTTAAAAAATAATACTCAA